ACAACTTAAAGAATTACAAAGCAAACAAGAAGAAAGCCCTGGAGCAAGTAGAAGGAAGGAAATAGTAAAGATCAGAGCAGAAATAAATGACGAGACCAAAAAAGAATTCAAAGGATCAATGAAACAAAGAGCTGGTTTTTCGAAAAGATAAACAAGATTTATGGATCCTTAGCTAGACTCACCAAGAAACAAAGAAAGAGAACCCAAATACACAAAATCAGAAATGAAAGAGCAGAAGTAACAACTGACACCAGAGAAATACAAAAGATCATTAACAACTACTATGAACTATTATATGACAACAAATTCGACAATCTAAGCGAAATGGACAAATTTCTAGAAACACAGTCTCCCAAAACTGGACTGGGAAGAGGTAGAAAACTTGAACATACCAATAACAACTAAGGAAATTGAAGAGGTAATCAAGACTCTCCCAGCAAACAATATCCCAGGACTAGATGGCTTCATGGGGGAGTTTTACTGAACATTCAAAAGAGAACTAACACCCATTCTCCTTAAACTATTTCAAAAAATTCAAGAAGAAGGAAGACTTCCAAACTCGTTTATGAGGCCAGCATAATTCTAATTTCAAAACCAGTAAAAGACACTACAAAGAAAGAAAACTACAGGCCAATATCCCTGATGAACATAGATGCCAAAATCCTGAACAAAATACTAGCAAATTGGATCCAGCAGTACATCAAAGAAATTCTTCACCATGACCAAGTGGGATTCATCCCAGGGATGCAAGGCTGGTACAATATTTGCAAATCAATAAATGTGATACACCACATAAATAAAATGAAAAATAAAAACCACACGATTATATCAATAGATGCTGAAAAAGCATTCGACAAAATCCAGTAGTATCTATTTCTGATAAAAGCGCTCAGTGACGTGGGAATAGAGGGATCATATCTCGACATTATAAAGGCCATATATCAAAGACCTATAGCCAACATCATACTCAATGGGCAGAAACTAAAAGCATTTCCCTTAAGAACAGGAACAAGACAGGGATGCCCACTTTCGCCACTCTTATTTAACATAGTACTGGAAGTCTTAGCCATAGCAATCAGACATGAACAAAAAATAAAAGGGAACCAAATTGGAAAGGAGGAAGTGAAACTGTCATTATTTGCAGATGACATGATATTCATAGAAAACCCTAAAGACTCCATCAAAAATCTATTAGACTTAATAAATGAATTTGGCAAAGTAGCAGGATACAAAATTAACGTCATGAAATCAACGGAATTCTCATACACCAATGATGAACACACAGAAAGAGAAACTGAAAAAACAATCTCATTTACCATTGCGGCAAAAATATTAAGATACCTAGGAATAAACTTAACCAAAGAAGTAAAGGACCTATTTGTAGAAAACTACAGGACATTGAAAAAAGAAATAGAGGAAGATATAAAAAAGTGGAAGCACATACCTTGTTCATGGATTGGAAGAATTAACATCATTAAAATGTTCATATTACCCAAAGCAATCTATAGATTCAGTGCAATCCCCATCAAAATACCAATGACATATTTCACAGAACTAGAACAAATACTTCAGAAGTTCATATGGAATCAACAAAGACCCCAAATAGCCACAGCAATTTTGAAAAAGAAGGACAAAGTAGGTGGGATCACAGTACCAGATATTAGATTATACTACAAAGCTACTGTAATTTATTCCTTTAAAATGTAGACCCAGAGACATGGAAGTAAGAGGGCGGTGGTGGGGGGAGGGAAGAGATAAAACACAGAACTTATATGCATGTACGCATAACCAATGGACATGGACAACAAATCTGGGGATGGGGGCTGGGGTAGAATTGGGAGGAGGGTGTCAATGGGGTAAAAAAGGAGAAACATCTGTAACAAAATAAAATTAAAATTTAAAAAAAAAAAAAAGGAAAGTTAACCCGGGACTCCTTCGTCCACAGGCCGACATTCTTTCCAGCTGAACCAAACTAGCCAGGGCCTCCGGATATTTTTCCATTGATTTTTTTAGATAGAGTGGAAGGGAGGGAGAGAGAGATAGAAACATTAATATGAGATAGACACATTGATTGGTTGCCTCCGTGCGTACCATGACCAGGACCAAGGATTGAAACTGCAAACCAGGTACATGCCCTTGACTGGGAATCGAACCTGAGACCCTTCCATTTGCCCGCTGTGGGCCAAACTGGCCAGGGCAGATCATTATATGTAATGGTTAATTAAAATGAGATCCTCTTGACCTCACCCCAACCCTAATCCTCATCTTAATTCTCAGTGTAACCATAACTCTATACCTCACCTTAATCCTCACCCTAAACTCTCCAAAAAATAAAAAATAAAATAAAATTAGATTCTCTTGGAGCAGGTTGGTGGGGCCTGGCAAGCACCACCTGGTTCTGGAGTAAATAAGGGAGAGACTCTCCCAAGCACTGTAATTGGAGTCCATAATTAGAATCCAAGTGGGTAGGGAGCCGATACTTGCCACCTGCTCAAGTCTCTATAAAGCCCAGTGTCTGGCCGCCTGGCATACCTTTGTGTGGTGGGACTGTTGCTTGGTGCCCTGAACCCCTGGCCCAGGCCCCTTAATAGGCTCCATGTGGACTCGCAGCAGTGTGTGTGGCCTTCTGGCATCCCTAGGAGCCAGTGGCCCCACACGAAGACCCTAGTGGGAGTTGGGGCTTGGTGAGCAGTGAGCAGTGGCGTTGGAGTAGAGAGCTGGGGTATGTACCTAGGCCCCCCCCCCACCCCCCCGGGCCTTGGCGGCAGAGGTGGACCTGAACACCTCCACCAACTGGAAGGAGGCAAAATCGTTATCTAAAGGACCTGAGTGACAAGCAGTGGGACAAACATTACTTCTGCAAGGACTTCATCAGACTGAAGAAGATCCCAGCCTGGAAGGAGATGGTGAAAGGGTTGACGGTGAATGTGGAGGAGCCCAAGTACAAAAAGGACAAGCCTCTCAAAGAGAAGATCTCTCTGTTCCGAGGCAGTATCATCAAGCTGGAGGTAGACGTCATCGTCAGTGCCGCCAACAGCTCCCTGCTCTGAGGAGACAGTGTGGACTGCTGCATTCACCTGGCCGTTGGGCCCGTGCTTACCCACAAGTGCCAAATCAAGCAGAACCTCGAGACCGGGGAGGCCAAGATCACCAGCCAAGTATGTCATCCACATAGTGGGGCCCATCACCCACAGAGAGCCCAGCTGCTGAGCTCTGCAACTGCTACCTGAGTAGCCTCGACCTGCTGCTGGAGCACCGGCTCCACTCCAAAGTATTCCTCTGCATCTCCACCTACGTGTGGTTACCCCAACAAGGCTGTGGCGGAGATAGTGCAGGCCGTGCTGCATGAGTGGATGGAGCAGCACAAGGACAAGGTGGACTGGCTGATCATCTGTATGTTTCTGGAGAAGGACGAAAATATATACCCACAGCGGCTCCCCCATTACTTTCCAGTGGCCTGAGGGCACCCCGTTTCACACCCTGACCACAACTGACTTGCGTGGGCCTGCTGGACCTCACTTCCAGCTCTATGAGATCTGGGGAACCTACAGCTGGGCCTGGGCCTGGCCACCTCATCCCTTCCCTCAACCCCCTGCCCCTCAGGGGCCCCCTAATAAAGACCACCATTGTTGCAATAAATTAATTAACTAATTAAAGTACAATAAAATTAGATCCTCTCTTCAAGTAAATATCTCTTTATATTAAACTCAGTGGTAAATAGTGAGCCCTTTTAAAGTATTGGAGTATAAAAGTGTACTGAAAACAGTTGGATATTAATTTTCTACTTAAATTGATTTTAGAGAGAGGAAGGGAGAGAGAGAGAGAGAGAGAGAAACATCGATTTGTTGTTTTACTTATTTATGCGTTCATTGGTTGATTCTGGTATTTGTCCTGACGGGGGTCAAACCCATAATCTTGATGTATTGGGTCGATGCTCTAACCACGTGAGCTACCTGGCCACGACTTAACCTTATTTCTCAGAACATTTTTTTATTGTAAATTTTTTTTTTTTTTAATCCTCATCTGAGGACATTTTTCCATTTTTTGTACAGTGTGGGAGGGAGAGAGAGGAAGAGAGAGAGAGGGAAACATCAATGTGAAAGGGACACATCAAGTGGCTGCCACCCGCACGACCAACCAGGGCCGGGGACAAACTGCAACCGAGGTACATGCCCTTAGCGGGAACCGAACCCGGGTCTCTCCGGACCGCAGGCGGACGCTCTAACCGCTGAGCCAAACCGGCCAGGGCATAAATTTTAAATATATATTTTTTCTCTATTTTATATTATTTCTTAAAATTTATTTATTTTTGTTACAGATGTTTCTCCTTTTTCCCCCACTGATTCCCCTCTCCCTCTCCCTCCCCTCAGAACATTTAATGTGTTAACATTAATCAAATAGATACTGATCCTAGTCAAGGTAGTAAGTAAATAACATACATTATTTCATTTAATCATTGCTATAACTATGTAAAGAAAGATTGTTAGCTGAATTTAAATTCAGAAGATAAATGAGCTTTCATGTAACTTTAAAAATTTCACTCCTTAGAAGTCAATACAAGTCTTTTAGTGAGCAAAAGGATGTTTCTTAACTGAATGTAATTTTGTTAAAATTCTAATGGAGAAGTTTTGGCTTAATGTTTTTAAAAAAATAGAATTTAAAAAAAATGAAAGGCAGTTTTAATTTTTGGTAATTTTGTCAGACGTCTTCAAATGTGAACTTTGTAGATCACTATTTGGTTAGGTTGGTAAATGATGAGTGGAGCCTTGCAGGTTGAGAGTACTAACAGGCAAGTTCTTGCTAGTTTTCTTTACTTCTTTCTTTAAAAATCTTTTTGTTCTGTACTTTTCTCTTTCTCATTGTGTAACAATTTTTTTTATTGTTTATATTTATTTTAGAGACAGTGGAAGGGAGAGGGAGAGAGAAACTTATATAGTGAAGAAGTCAAACACAAATTGGTGTCTTTCTCTTCCTCTAAAAAAAATAAAGACAACATTCTTAAAAATATGGAATGCTTCATGAATTTGAGTGCCACCCTTGTGCAGGGGTCATGCTACTCTTCTCTGTATTGTTCTAATTTTAGTATATGTGCTGCCCAAGCAAGCACTTCTTTATTTTTAATTTATTAACTTTGCCTTTAGTTTTTCCAATTTGTCTGCTTTGTTGATTAAGTTTATCAGTATTTTTCTTTGTACTAGAATGTTGTGAATTTATTTATCTTTGTTCTTATTAATATAAAATTTTTGAGTTACAAGTTCTCTGAGAGCTGCTCTAGTTGATTTCTGTTCTTATAATAAATTATTATTAATGTTTTATATATTCTGCAATGTCATGTTTTACTTCTTTGACCTAAGGGTAGTTTTAGCCCTTTTAATTTTTTTTCCAGTTGAAATCTTGGGTTGTCTAGATAAACAATCATAGTGATAGCCAGTATTTCAATTTTGCCTATCTCTGCCTTGTGCTTTTAGCCAAAGGCACAAACCTATAAACTTTGAAATAAGAACCAACACTGGGTGTGGGAGGCAGCTGGTTGATGTGTCTCTTTCACATTGGTGTTTCTCTCTCTCTCTCTTCCTCCCTCTCTCCCTCCTGCTCTATCTGAAAATAAATGCAAAGATGTCCTTGAGTGAGGATTAAAACAAAAGAACAAACACTGGTTCTATTAAGGATTTAAAATAAACATGATAGCCTGGCTCAGTGGTTGAGCGTCCACCCATGCACCAAGAGGTCGCCAGTTTGATTTCTGGTCAGGGCACATGCCCAGGTTATGGGCCAAATCCCCAGTGGGGGCCATGCAAAAGATGGCCAGTTGATGTTTTCTCTCATCGGTATTTCTCTCTCTCTCCCCCTCTCCCTTCTCTTTCTAAAAATCAATAAAAGAAAAAAAAATTTTTTAAATAAAAATAAAACAATAAAATGAAATAAGCATGATAAATATTTTGGACAAAATACTAAAATAAAAAGACACATATTTAAGTCATTATGCAAGAGATAGGGAGTTTTTATCTTTTTTTCTTTTTTAATCCTCATCCGAGGATATTTTTCTGTTTTATCTTCAGATAGAGTGGGAGGGAGGGAGAGAGGGAAGGAGAGAAAGACAGGGAGAGAGAAAGAAACATCAATGTGAGAGAGACACATTGATTGTTGCCCCCTGCATGATCCCAAGCAGTGTTGGGACCAAACAGCAACCCATGTACGTGCTCTTGACTGGAATTGAACCTGCGACTCTTTGGTCTGCGGGTCGACACTCTAACCGCTGAGCCTAACTGGCCAGGGTGAGTTTTTATCTCAATAAAAGCTGAGGAACAAGAAAAGCAAAAGGAAAGGATGTCTGTAATAACCCAGAACAAACATTCTAGTTAAAATCAACATGAAGAGAACTGAATTGGGAGAAGAACAAGTAATTTATTAGAGTGTGGTGGAGTACTTGTCTTGTTAGTGGGAAGATATACTTGATAAGTTGAAGAAATTATTAGGAGCACATGAACAAGAAAATGTGGTTGTAAGTGAAGGACAACCATAAGAACACATTTGTATAGCTTTATTTATTGATTTATTGATTGATTGATTGATTGATTGATTTTTTGGTTCATAAGGTAGTTCTGTTTTTTTTATATTTTTATTTATTTATTTATTTATTTTATTAATTTGTTTATTTTTGTTACAGATGTTTCTCCTTTTCCCCCCACTGATTCCCACTTCCCCCTCCCTCCTGGCCCTGTCCCCAGCTTTGTTGTCCATGTCCATTGTTCATGCATACATGCATATAAGTTCTGTGGTTTATCTCTCCCCACCACCTCCTCTTCTGGGGATTGTCAGTCTGTACCCTACTTCCACGTCTCTGGGACTACCCCATTCCTCAGACTGTTATGTTCATTCTATTCCACAAATAAGTGAGATCATATGAAACTTGTCTTTCTCTATTTGGCTTGTTTTGCTTAGGATAATACTTTCCAGGGCCCTCCATGTTGTCTCAAAGGATAAAAGATCTTTCTTACAGCTGCGTAGTACTCCATTGTGTATATGTACCACAGCTTTTTTATCCATTCGTCTACTGATGGACATTTGGGCTGTTTCCAGATCTTAGCTATTGTAAATAGTGCTGCTACGAACATGGGGGTACATATATTCTTTCTGATTGGTGTTTGAGGCTTCTTAGGGTATATTCCTAGAAGCGGGATCACCGGGTCAAATGGCAGTTCAATTTTTAATTTTTTGAGGTAACACCATATTGTTTTCCATAGTGGCTGCACCAGTCTGCATTTCCACCAGCAGTGTACTAGAGTCCCCTTTTCTCCACACCCTCACCAACACTTGTTGTTTGATGATTTGTTGATGGCGGCCATTCTGACAGGTGTGAGGTGATACCCCATTGTTTTAATTTGCATCTCTCTGATGATTAGTGATGTTGAGTATTTCTTTATATGTCTCTAAGCCATTTGTATGTCCGATTTGGATAGGTGTCTAGTTCCTCTGCCCATTTTTTAATTGGGTTCTTTGTCTTCCTTTTGTTGAGTTATATGAGTACTCTATGTATATTGGAAATTAATCCCTTATCTGATATATCATTGGCAGTTATGTTCTTTCATACAGTGGGTTGCCTTTCCATTTTGATGATTGTATCTTTTGCTATTGTATAGCTTTATTTTTATTCGATCAAAGGTAAGTGCTCTTGGCCGAGAATCGAACCAGCGGCCCTTTGGTGCTCGGGCAGGTGCTCTAACTGCTAAACCACACTGGCCAGGGCAGAAGAAAACACTGTTTACCCAGTAGAGAAAGGAATAGAAGAAAAAGGGAAAGAAATCAAACTTAAGTAATAACAACTGCTGACTCCTAAAATACCACCAAGATAACTTGTTAGTAAGACAAAACTTTATTTTTGTTTAATGCTTACTTTGGTAAGGTAGATTACTACTTCACCAGAGCCTTAGTAGCCTGTCAGATGGGGAAGGAAAAAGTTGAGGTATTTATTGAGATTTAAAATCTGGTTTAAGGTGGACCTTTCAATTGGAGGATGCTTGTTTATGATGATCAGATAAGGATCATGATATAATAATTTAGGATTGGTAAGCGGAGAATTTGTAGGCAAGGAGTGGAGTTTTGGAGTGTAAACCATCATGTAATACTTTCTGTTGAAGAGTTGATGGGTCTTTCAGGAAGTTCCTGGAATGAACAATAAAATTATTTTGCAACATTTATCATTCTAAGCAAGAGACTCCTGGAACAGTAAACTCTTATGAAGACAGTGTAATAAAACATCATGTAATGTAGATAGTAAGCTGTATGGATGATTTTCATTCTCAGAAGACAGAAATAATAATTGCATTCCTGGGGTTAGGGAGGACCCATCTGCTTCCTTTTATTTATTCTTTTACTATGCTACTAGGTTTGTTCGATAACATTTTATTCAGGAGTCATGCAGTTATATTCATTAGTAAGATTGGCCTGTTTTCTTGTCATGTGTTTACAGTATCTAGTTTTGGTATCAACTAGCTTTTTTGAATTAGTTCCTCCCTTGTGGAAATATTTCCTTTAAGATTAGGAGTATCTCTTTCTTGAAGGTGGGTAGATATTTTTATTTTCTCTACTCACGTTTGCTTTTTGGCTTCCTTTTTCAGTGTGATCAACCTGCTCTTTGATTGTTAAGGATTATTATAATTTCTGTTCCATGGTTATCTAGCCTTGTTGTATTATTAGTTTTAAGTATATATTTTGACTTTTCTATGAATTTGTACCAGAAGAGCATGATTGTCTTATGACTTAGCTTGTCATCTTAAACCACCCTCCTATTTCTTGAATTAATCATCTTTGGTTTTAAACCTAATTTAGTTAAATAGATAGATCTCATATTATGACCAGGAAGAAAAGTAAGGATAATTATAATTTTTGTTTTTTAAAAAGCTTTTTAGTTGTCATTGTGTCATCTTCAGAAAAATATATTAAACAATGTATATTATCTATTCATTGTTTTCTATTCATGTATGTTATCGATCAACATCGAAAAGTGAACCATGTTGGATATTCTTTTTGGTCCATATATTTCTATTTTGATTTGCTTTTTATATATAAAATATTATAATTGACCTTATGTGAAAGCCTTCTTTTAATGACAGTTTTTCCTTTCCAAATATAGGAAGTTCACAAATGGGTGCTACCATAGTAGATGCTTTGGATACCCTGTATATCATGGGACTTCATGATGAATTCCGAGATGGGAAAAAATGGATTGAAGACAGCCTTGACTTCAGTGTGGTGAGTATACAATTGATAAATTCTTTGACTGACTATAAAAAGACATAATATCAAACGCTAACGGTTTTGAGCATTGTAGTTTTGAGCCTTTTGCTAGCCTTTTAAGAAATCCTAAGTCCCCATTTTTCTTTTGGGATTATCAGTTATTATTTAATTTTTATATAAAATATATACTCTCACTATCTTCATTGTACTTTTCTTCTCTTTATCATTTGAGGCACTGTGTTAAGGCAATAATAGTTAGAGGGAAAAACACTGAACCAGAAATATGAGGAAAGAATATATCGTAAATAATAAGCGTTTTTTTATTATTACTATTTTTTTTATCCTCACCCGAGGACATTTTTCCATTTTTTTTATTCAGATAGAGCGGGAAAGAGAGAGAGGAAGAGAGAGAAACATCGATGAGAAAGGGACACATCGAGTGGCCGCCACCCACATGACCCAACCAGGGCCGGGGACAAACTGCAGCCAAGGTACATGCCCTTAGCGGGAACCGAACCTGGATCTCTGTGGACCGCAGGCTGACGCTCTAACCGCTGAGCCAAACTGGCCAGGGCCGTTTTATTATTTTTTAAAGATTTAATTATTTGGGCCCTGGCCTGTGTGGCTCAGTTGGTTGGGCATTATTCTGTGCACCGAAGGGTTGCTGGTTTGATTCCTGATTAGGGCACGTGCCTGGGTTGCGGACTCGATCCTTGGAGGGGCATGCAGGAGGCAGCTGATCAATGTTTTGCTCTCACATTGATGTTTCTCTCTCTCTCCCTTTTCCTCTCTTTAAAAATAAAAATAAATAACACACACACACACACGTATACAGATTTAATGATTTGTTACAGTTTTTTTTTCAATCCTCATCCAAGGATATTTTTTCCACTGATTTTTAGACATAATGGACGGGAGGGAAGGGGAGTGGTGAGGGAGAGATAAACATTGATGTAAGAGAGATACATTGATTGGTTGCCTCCCGCATGACCCTGGCTAGGGCTGGGCATTGAACCCACAACTCAAGTACTCACCCTTGATCAGAGTCTGTGGGCCAACTCTAACTGCTGAGTCAAATTGACCAGGGCAGATTTTGTACAGCTTTGATGAACCTTCCTAATTAGGCCTATGCCTGTCCTTGCAGTATTTTGGCACAGTTGATAAATGGTACTGCTTGGGTTTGAAGCCAGCACAGCTACATTCTAGCTGTGTGTCTTGGGAAAGTTTCTTTTTCTTTTTAAACCTATCATAAAATGCTATCACACTGTAATATTGTGAGGATTATTTGAGATAATCTGGTACATATAAGGTGCCCAGTAAATGGTAGCAGTTATTTTTATTATTACCATTCTTCATCAAAATGATGTGTGCACTGTTTTGTCTTCTTCATTATCATCTTTCATGATACTGTGTTTGCTGTTCCTCTGACTGTAGTCAGAAGTCACTCCTTCTCTATGCGTTTTTCTCTTTGGTAGACTCTGCATTGTTCCCATTGTAATTTAAATCCAAAATTATTTCTTCTCTCATGTCTTTCCTGTTGCTAATTAGACAAAACTGATGAGCATTTTGGACATAATCTCAATTAGAACAATTTTTGTTACCCGGGAGGTTTAGATTTGGCCATGAGTGTCAGGAAACCTAATATAAAGTAGCTTAAACAAATGTTTGTTTCTCTTTCATTCAAACTAAGTACAGAGATAAGCTGTTTAGGACTGATTTGGGTGGCTCCTAGATCATCAGGGCCCTAGTGTTCTTTGTCCTGTTGCTCTGTCAACTTCAGTGTACAGTTTCAAACTCATGGTACAAGGTGGTTCCTTAAGATAAGGTGGATATGCAACTGTTGTTTTAAGAACATTTCTGGGGAGTTGATCACCCCACTTTTGCTTGCATACCATTGAGTAGCTCTCACTCATATGGCCCAACCTAGCTGTAAAGAGAGGATGAGAAATGTAGTCCCTTTTTAACCCCCGTTTGGCTATATAGTCCTTATAGGTTGTACTTCATGTATTTTTTTTCGTTTTTTTTTTTTTTATCCTCACCCGAGGACATTTTTCGATATTTTGTTCAGATAGAGTGAGAGGGAGAGAGAGAGAGAGAGAAACATCGACGTGAAAGCGACACATCGAGTGGTTGCCACCCACACGACCCAACCAGGGCCGGGGACAAACTGCAACCAAGGTACGTGCCCTTAGCGGGAACCGAACCTGGGTCTCTCCGGACCGCAGGCCAACGCTCTAACCGCTGAGCCAAACCGGCCAGGGCTTATGTATTTTTTTTAAGAAAGCTGTACTCTGCCCTGACCAGTTTGGCTCAGCGGTTGCAGTATTGGCCTGCGGACCAGAGAGTCCCGGGTTCGGTTCCCACTAAGGGCACGTACCAAAAAAAAACAAACCCTGTACTTTAGGGTCATGAAGATATATTACTATATTCAATTCCAAATATTTAATGTTTGCTTTTGCATTTAGGTTTTTAATTCATATGGAATTGATTATTTATGTAGGGTGAGATAGGCTACCATCAATTGATCCTAGTATCATTTATTTCCCCACTATTTATACATGCCACATTAGTCACATTAGCCTGTTTTCTACCGGCTTTTTTTCTTTTTTTTTTTTTTTTTATTCTCACCCGAGGATATTTTTCCATTTTTTGTACAGATAGAGTGGGAGGGAGAGAGAGGAAGGGAGAGAGAGAGAGAAACATCGACGTGAAGGGACACATCGAGTGGCTGCCACCCGCACGACCAACCAGGGCCGGGGACAAACTGCAACCGAAGTACGTGCCCTTAGCGGGAACCGAACCCAGGTCTCTCCAGACCGCAGGCCGACGCTCTAACCGCTGAGCCAAACTGGCCAGGGCTCTACCGGCTTTTTTTCTTTATCCCTACATCATTATTAAACTGTCTCAACTATAATATTTTTGTAAGAGCTTATCTACATTTGAATCTTGATATCTGATCTTGTTCTTCTAGGAAATTACCTTAATTCTCAGCTCTTTGTTCTTTTTAGCTGGAATACTGTTGAAATTTTTATGAGGATTACATTCAATTTATAGATTAGTTTGGGGAAAATTAACATCGGTGCAATCTCAAATACTTCTATTCATTAATGTGGCAGGTTTATTATGCCTAATAATTTGTTGGTACATAATTTTTTTATCAACTGGCTCTATCAGGAACCAGAACTATACCATTTATTTTAATTTGAGGATTTACTGTCTAAACAGTAAATTGTTAAACAAATAAGGGGGCACTGAAAAGGCAAAAGGTATCACAAGAGGTAGTAACTACAGTAAACAGCTACCACTCCTGAGACTTTGAGAATAATGTGAAGAGATTGGGATAATTAAAATTTAGTAGCTAGTGACTCTGTGTCTGATACCTTAGGAATTCTTAGAGGGGCTTTCTCAGAGCTAGGTCTCAGACTTCTGAGGAGGTGGGATCTAGCTAGCGCTTGGTATTGATAAGGGCTGTAATGAAGCTGATTTGGAGACTGTTTATGTGTGGCAGGGGAACGAACTGTAACCTGGAACCAACTGCCAGGGTAAAGATACTGTTAAAAACTAGAGACGGAGTAAGTCCCTTCTCTTTCCTCTAGCCTTGTGTTATCTTTTTTTGAAAATATTTTTTCTTTATTGATTTTAGAGAGAGAGGAAAGGAAAGAGAGAGAGAGAGAGTAGAAACATCGATGAGAGAGAACATCAGTTGGCCACCTCCTGCATGCTCCTCACCTGGCGGCCCACAACCTGGACATATACCCTGACCGGGAATTGAACTGGCGATCTCTTGGTGCGACCAGTGAGCTACACCAGCTAGGTAGCCTTGTGTTATCTTAATAAACTTCCTATTGGCATAGCCTGTAAGGCAGCCAGCTGGCAAATGAGAGTTGCATTTGCAGAGTTCCAATTCTAGTATATGCAAGTAGAGTACAGAATGATGGATTTGAACCCCAGAAAAGATAGCTTAATAATCAACACATCATTTACCATACCTTTACTTTTAACCTGCATCATATGTTTAGCTGTATATTATATATAGTGGTATTTTGATTTTGTTACTTTTATCCAGTCTTGGAGGTTTTTGACTGTTAAGTTTGAAATAATTACATTTATTTTAACATATATTTGGAGTTGACACTTCTGTCTTTGTTTAGCTACCTATATTATTATATTTTTCATTTGCTTTGATTTTCTATCTTTATTTTGGATTAAATTACTTCGTTTCTTTTTCCCTCTACTAGTTCAATAGTTATATTTTCCATTTTCATTTGTTTTGGGATTGCCCTTAAATTTTTATATGTATTCTTATCAAAGATTAAAATCAGTCAGCTTCTTTATCCTCCTTCTTAGGATCTTAGAATGCTTTAACTTAACTCATCTCCCTTGTCTTACGTGATTCTTATCTAGTTGATCCCAAATTATATTTGAATATTCCAAATAAAGTAATAAATAAATATATTTCTTGAATGCTTCCTTTGTAAAAGACACTTTTCTAGATTTTGTGAAAAGGGTAATGAATAAAACAGAATCGTATCTCTTTCTTAAGTGTATACTCTAGTTTTGGGAGAATAGTAGTTGTTAACCTAAAAATAAAAAGCTAAAGTGAGAGGCTGCAAGAATTTATTTGAGATAAAAAATAATTCAGGGAGAAACCCAAGTTATGTTCCAATTAGTAGGGGAAGCAAGGGGTTTATATGAGAAAGGGAAGGAAAATAATTTTTTTTTTTTGGTACGTGCCCCTAGCGGGAACCGAACCCGGGACTCTCTGGTCGGCAGGCTAATGCTTCAACCGCTGAGCCAAACCGGCCAGAGTGGGAAGGAAAATAATAATATGATTGGAAGGAAGGAATTTCTGTTGGTGCTAATAAGCTGAGTTATATTCTAGCTATACACATGATAGTGCTAATTCTAAAGAATGTCCTTAATTTTCAGTCCTTGTAGTCAGAATTTCTGTTTTTCTGTTAGCTTTATAAACAGCTGTTTGGAATATAATATTGGTTTCACACAATTCAGAGGTTATTTTTGTCCAGTTCAGATATTCCAAAGGTTTGAAAAGACATGCCAGGTAGTTCCTCTGGAATGGCGACTCTGGCTCCTTTTTGAAATGGTTCCATTTATAGCATCTTTCACACAGTAAACAAATATTCCAAGTTATATATAGTGTATCAATTGGTGATAAGTGCTGCAGAGAACAATATAGGACTCGTAGTGTTTTATCAGCCTGAAGATTTATGTTTTCATCAATTTTGTAAGATTCTCAGTCGTTACTTCTTTCAGTAATGCCTATCTCCCACTCTCTCCCTATTCTCCCTCTAGAACTTCTCTTATCTTCTGTCTCTCTTGTGAGGGGAGGTATGAATTTTACAAATAAAGACTTATATAGTAATCAGATGGTAACTCTTAATGAGGGAAATAATGCAAGGTAAAGGATATTAGTGGTGAGAGATTAGTTCACTATTTTATATTGTGTTGCCAGAAAGACCTTCAGGTAAAGTACAATGTAAAGATTAACACAGGAGTTTGGCAATTCTGGATCAGTAAGTAGACCCATTTGGTAATAAAAAAGTGAATCAAAGAAATATTGGTAGGAGATGATGTCAGAGAGGTAGGGATCTGATTATGTTGGGTCTTTACCATTTTACACTGAGTGTAGCCAGAAGTCATTGCAATGATTTGTGCAGAGTAGTAGCCTAAACTGACAAGATTTGAAAGACTTACTCAGCTATAGGATGCTGTATAATTAGAGTGTAAACAGAAGGGTAAGGATGCAATTAGGGAACTGGCTAGATGATTAAGGTGATAGAGGCTCTCCTCCCTCTTTCCCTTCCTCTCCATATTTGTGAATGTCTTTTGCAGTGTGCTATGTATTAGGATTATATGGAGTAATATAAAGCACTTTGCTTTTGAGAATGGGGTGTGATGGCAGTTATGTTATTAAAATTACATTGTATTGTGAAAATTCTATATTGGAGAAACATACTTGTGTTATCAAATGCTGTGTTCTGTCCATGAATGTTTGAAGAACTTCAAAGTAATATATATTTCCTTTTAATTTTTATTAAAAAAATTAATTATAAATGTTAATCTTTATATTAGTCAATTGTGTATATTCTGTGAATTCTTTGGTCATGTTCTCTGCCACTTCTACTTTTCTGTCCATGTGTTAGAATTTTTCTCAGCAGTGCCTGTATTCATATATGACTAACTACAAACATATAGACTCCATGTAGTAAAGTTATTAATACTGCTATATTTGTGCTAAATTTCCTTCTGTTTGTTTGCATTTTAATTTTGTTCATAATTTTTTTTTTCTCATTGGTAATTTGCATCTTGGGGGAATTCAAGTCTTTCATCGTTTGGTATCACTACTATTGATTTTATGCTTGCAAAGTTTCTTCGTTCTCAAGGAAGTTTACATATAGTCATATTTTCTTCTACTCATTTGTTGTGATTTTTTCTGTTTTTGTCAAATGGTTATCCACATTGATTTCTTATCTAGGAGCCATTTTCTCAACATTATTCATTAAATAATCAATCATCCTACGATTATTTTTTTGGTGCCTCTTTTAACATTTATTAAGTTATTATGTATTAGAAAAAATATTTAAAATTCATGAGGAGAGATAGAAGTGAAAATGGACATTATGCTGTAGTGATTAGAAGGAGAAAAAGGACCATTAGAGAGTGCTAATTCCAGAATTCAGAAAGTAGAAGCTTTCATGAGGAGAGAATAGTCAACAGTATCAAATATTTTTATAATTTAACAATAATATGTAAGGGACATGAAAATGGCCATTTGTTCTTGGCAATTAGGAAGCAACAGGGATAGTAGTGGAGGAGTTGCAATGACTAACAAGTGGGAGGGGAGATTGCAGTTGCATGAGAAATGAAGAGGTAGTAAGTGGGAAAATATTCTCCATAGGATGTTTGCAAGAAACTTATGAAGTATTGAAAACTAGAAAGTTTTAAGTGTATGTGAATACTTTCAATATGTTTTCACAGAATTCAGAGGTGTCGGTGTTTGAAGTCAACATTCGATTTATTGGAGGCCTACTTGCAGCATACTACCTTTCAGGAGAGGAGGTAAGCAAAATCAAGTAATACATTGTTTTTTGGGGAAAGTGGTTGTGAATGGAATTTAATAAAATGAAAAACTCCCCCAGCAGCATATTGTTTTCTTAATTGTCGAATATTGAACTAATGTTAAGGTTTGCTGAAAGAACTGGAAGATACAGATGGGACTGTTCCTTGGGAATAGTGAGTTTTTCATTTTAAGAATCTCAGTACAACAAATTCATCACATATCTTAGCTTTATTTACACCACGTCTCCTTTGCAGGAGTGATCCTTCTTCAGGAGGTTGTTACTGCAATTAATTACATGATCGAAACAGGGGGGTGGGGGATTAATAAGACCATAATTAAAGAATGAATCATGAAGATCGAATACGGATCCAGATCCAACTAAGACCAAAAATTAAGTATTAAAACTACCTGGAAATTTAATACAGTTTTTTTTTGCTATAAATTTAAAAAGCAGAATACAACAACTCTGAATTCTCCTTTCTGGAATATTGGTGTAATACACATAGACACACTTGAGACCTATGGTGATGGGGAAGTGGGTGTGGGCAATTTTCTTTGCACCACTCATATGGGTTAAAGAATGGGAGGAATGGGTTAAGATAGTGGGAGAAATAGAAACCAAGGGAAGGAGGTTATAAGTCATTTGTATTTTGTTTTCTGAGAAACTGCTTTGCCCATATATTTGATTGCTTTGTTGGTCTACCAAGGATGGGGAACGACCAGCCCAATACCAGCTAATATTACACGCCTCACCAAATTAGCTTGACCAAATATAGCAGGCTAATTTTTAAGTTGATAATTTTGTATGACTTGCGAATGATGTTATAAATATCCGAATGGCCCTTGGCAAAATTTGTGAGCTCTTTGTGAGTTTAAGAAAATTCATCTTTTGTTATGTGTATTGAAAAGATGGATTTCTATGTTGTCTTTATTTTTTATTTTTTGTGATTAACCTTAAAGTCATCATTTTTAGTAATTTTAAAGACCTTTATGGCTCATAGATTTTATTAGAAAGACTTCCCCATGTCTGTGTTATTAGAAAACAAAAAGTCCCATTTTCCTTCTGGATTTTTATAATATTATATGCTTTTATTTAAATATTTCATCTGTGTTGTATGTTTGTGTAAAGAATGAGATATTCTTGTACTACTAATTAAACACATTTTTTTTCTTAATTGATTTTAGAGAGAGAGGAAGGGAGAGGGAGAGAGAGATAGAAACATCGATGAGAGAGAACATCAGTTGGCTGTCTCCTGCATGTCCCCACTGGGGATTGGGCCCACAACCTGGGCATGTGCCCTGACTGGGAATTGAACCAGCATCCTCTTGGTACATGGGTTGACGCTCATCCACTGAGCCACACTGGCCAGGCTATTTTTTGTTGTTGTTGTTAATCCTCACTCAAAGATATTTGTCTATATATATATATATATATATATATATATATATATATATAATTTTTTTTTTAGAGTGGAAGGGGAAGGAAGGAGAGAGAGGAGAAATGTCGATTGCCTCCCACAGAACTCCAACTGGGGCAATGGATTGAACCTGCAACCCAGGTACAAGCCCTTGACCTGAATCAAACCCTCAACCCTTTGTTCGATGGGCCTGTGCTCTTACTGCTGAGCCATACTGGCCAGGGCCTTTTTTTCTTTAATCCTCACCTGAGGATATGTTTAGAGAGAGGAAAAGGAGGGAGAGAGAAAAAAAACAATGTGTGAGAGAAATATCTATCAGTTGCTACTGTACATGCCCTGACCAGGGATTGAACCTGCACTCCAGGTATGTGCTCTGACTGGGAATTGAACCTTCAACCTTTTGGTGTACGGGATGATGCTCCAACCAATTGAGCTGCCTGGCCAGGACTTTAGTTCACATTTAATACAACTTTTAAGAGAGTTATACGCTGGCCAACAGGTTTTTAAACTTTCGTGTGTGTCAGAATCACATAGGGTGTTTTTAAAAGATGAAGGTACTTACAGGACTGTGATTCAGGTGATTTTTTTTTTTTTTTTATCCTCACCCGAGGATACTTTTCCATTTTTTGTACAGATAGAGTGGGAGGGAGAGAGAGGAAGGGAGGGAGAGAGAGAAACATCGACGTGAAGGGACACATCGAGTGGCTGCCACCCGCATGACCAACCAGGGCCGGGGACAAACTGCAACCGAGGTACGTGCCCTTAGCGGGAACCGAACCCGGGTCTCTCCGGACCGCAGGCCGACGCTCTAACCGCTGAGCCAAACCGGCCAGGGCTGATTCAGGTGATTTAGTGTGGAGACCATTATTTATGTTTTTTATAAGGACTCTTTATTAAAGGTGATTTTTGAAATGGCAGTTCTATACTTTGAGAAACTCTCACCTAGCTTATTTGAATAAAATCATTGTAAATTAAGTGATAGCATTTTTAAGGTCAGATTTATTGAGATATTACTTATTACATAGAGTAAAATTCACCTATTTTAGTGTATACTTCTATTCATTTTGACAGTAAATACATTTAGTAACCACCAGCACAATCAAGATACAGAAGAATTCTTCCCAGAAAATTTCCTTTTACTGTTTATAGTCACTCCACCCCCTACTACATGCCTGTTAGTTCCTTAGCTATCTTGGTTATTAGCTTGACTATCATGGTATCACAGAGTTTGTGTTCAAGTACCCTTATTTTACTTAATAATGGTCCCAAAGCACAAGAATAGTGATACTGGCAATTTGGATGTGCTAAGCTGTAAAGTGCTTCCTTTAAGTAGATGTGAAATCTCTCAGTTTCTGTTTGTCTGAAAGTCTATATAAAAAATATTTTTAAGATACTATTCTGTGTTAAATTTAGGTTAATTTTTTTTTCTTTCAACAGTTTAAATATGTCACGGCATTATCTTATAGTTTATGATGAGATGTCTGCTGTAATTCTTTGCTCCCCTGTATGTAATATGTGCCCACCCTTTTGGCTGCCTGTAAGATTATCTGTTTATATTTTGTTTTATATGAAGAGTCTGAGTGGTTTTACTTTTCAGTTTTTTTTTGGAGTGATGAGTAAGATTTATTTATCTTGGTTAAGGGTCTCTAAGCTTCTTAGATGTATGGTTTGATTTTTTTTTTTTTTGTCAATCATCAAGAATGTTTTTATTGATTTTTTTTTTTTTTTTTTAGAGAGGAAGGGGTTGGGGGCAGAGAGTGAGAAACATCAATGTAAGAGGGAATTATCGACTGGTTGCCTCTTGTACACGCCCTGACTGGGGATCAAACCCGCAACCTGGGTATGTACCCTGACCAGGAATTGAACCTGCAACCTTTTGTTGTACAGGATGATGCTCCAACCACCCAGCCAGGGCTGGTTTGATACTTTTTTTTTTTTATTCCTCACCTGAGGACATTTTTCCTTTTGTTCAGATAGACTGGGAGGGAGAGAGAGGAAGAGAGAGAGAGAGAAACATCGATGTGAAAGGGACACATCGAGTGGCTGCCACCTGCACAACCAACCAGGGCCGGGGACAAACTGCAACCGAGGTACGCGCCCTTAGTGGGAACCGAACCTGGGTCTCTCTGGACCGCAGACCGATGCTCCAACTGCTGATCCAAACCGGCCAGGGCTGGTTTGATATTTTTATTTTGAAACATTCTTAGTCATTATCTTTTAAAATATTTTCTTCTGCCTCTTTTCTCTTCTCTTCCTGGAATTCCACATAGGTCTTGAATTTGCTATGCTTTTTTATCCTACCCACTGCTTTTTTATTCCTTGTGTTTCAGTTTGTGTAATTTTTATAGACCTACCTTTAAGTTCACTTTCTCAGCTCTATTCAGTCTACTTTTGAGCTTGTTAAAGACATTTGGCATTTCTGTTACTTTGATTTTTAAAAAATTATTATTTGTAGTATTTTATTTGACTTTTACAATTTCAATTTCTCTGTTACAGTTTCTCATTGTCTTTATGCATGTTTTCCACCTTGTTCACTAACTAGGTCTTCTAACATAATAATCAGTCATTTTAATTCAGTTTCTGCCTCAGAGCCTGGTTGGTTACTTGCTTTGTCTCTAGAAAGTGGATTGTTTTTTTTATTGCTTTCTTAGGTAGTTCATAATTTTTTATTGAATGCCAAATATTGTGTATGGGGCAATAAAGACTGAGGTTAATAATATTTATACCTAGATTAGCATGCCTGTACTATTAGTGTCAGGAGTTGAGTCATTTTAGTCTGGAGTTGAACCAGGTGTGGCTTTTTAATTGCTAAGATTGCCTGCAGAACACCACTAGGTTTCAATTCCTCTATCATTACTTTGTTATTAGAGTGGGCCTGATTTGCAGACAAGTCGTTCTTCATGTTCTTTTTCTACCACAGGTATGCGTGTGTGCCTCTGAGAGGATTTCTTTCTATATGTACCTTGCCTCTCCCTCAGCCATGGACTGCTGTTATTCCATGCTTCCTATCCTTTATGTCCATATGAAGCCATGAGTTCACACCAATAACCTGATTTTAGCCCAACGCAATAAGGTTCATTCTAGCTTTTTTTCCCCTGCCTTTTCATATTTCTACTTCTCTTTTCTGATAGTAAGAAACCTGCCTCCTACTATTCCTTATTTATTTAACTATTGGATTAGTTTTGCTTATGAAGCCACTTTTCCTGGCCTTGCCTCGTTGACTGCATCTTCTTCACATGGACTCCTCTGGAACGTTACTCCCTTAGCTTGGTTGGCCTTACTTTCCTTACGTTGGTCCCAGCCCCTCTCCAGGACATTGCTACCCACTCCAGTCATTCCTTCTGGGCTCAGACCCTTGACTTCAGGAGCTTCTGTAGTGAAATATTAAACTATGAAAGGAGGAAGAAAACAGAACTATTTTGATGCCTTCAATTTCAGATTTTCCCCTCAGATGTCCTTGAGAAAGGAGAACATTTTTCTTCTTACTTTCATGTTTATCTGATTATGTAGAAGAAATAGTAAATAACTTGTGTGTAATTGGCATACTTGATTAATTTTCCTACCATAAGGTATATGATTCA